CCTCTACTTTGCTATGAGTTTTTTCTTGAATTCTATCATGTTTCTCATCTTTACCAAAGGGCTGGCACTAGGAGCTTTCTTTGGGCCCATGGTGGCTTATTTAGCAGTTGCAAGCACAAAAAAAAAAATTAATTATTATGAAATGTGTTGTACTATGAACCTGTGGGGTGATGGTCACATGCTGGTAAACAATGGCACACTGAGTGTGAATAGTGCGGGAGACTGGCTTTGTGTGCATACTGAAGGGCAGACGCGTACCAGAAGGCTGCTGAATCATGAGTCCAATCACGAACCACGAAGCTAAATTTTGCCCAAAAAAACTTGCCGAAAGTCGGATTTCACGAAAGTTGCGGCCTCCGAACGGCGAGGGTCCACTAATATAATTTTCCCTTATGTTCTTCACTGTATATAAAGCTGCTGATATTCTGGAACATGTCTCCCACATTGTGAGAAGCAAAATCTTAACCTCTTTCATCCTCTGATACACTTTTTTTTTTTTTTTTAAGCATCAGTTTGACAGGCTGAGAGCTGTTTTCCTACCTCAGCTCATTTCAAAGCCAAGCCCTATCCGAGGTATACAACCCCCCCAGGATGCGACCTGCAATAGTCGACTAGCACTCAGGTACTTAGTGCTAGGTGAACAGGGGCAGCAGGTTTAAGGAAAGCATGCCCAACACTTTCACCCGGCCAGGAATTGAACCACAGACACTCGGTTTGTGAGCTGAGCACACTATCAACTAAGCCACCAACTATCAAACTAATGTACTTCATAGCAATTTCACTCATACTATTATAGTACTCCTCACTGATATTTTAGGTGTTTACACTCTTTCCTGCTACTCTTGCCGTCTCTAATACATTCTTGAAACTGGTCACTCCCTTTCCAACAGAATTAATGAACACAAAAGAAGTGTTCACCTGATACTATAATAGCCTTAGAAAAAAGTTATGGATGAGGAAATTCTGAAAAATCTGATCACAATAAATGTTAGACCACAGCTGGGATATGTAGCAGTCACGTGGTGTCCACAAATCAACAAAAGAATGAACAAGCTGGAAGAAGCACTAAGATGAGCTGCCAAATGGCCCAGAGCTGAAGAAACATTGGACAAGCTAACCTTAGCTGATAGAAGACAAATTTTGATAACCAAATGAACTGTAAAAGAAGACAAAATTTGATAACCGAATGAATTGTAAAAGAAGACAAAAAAAAAAATTGATAAGGAAAACTAATGAATATTATCATCAGGCAGATCAGAAAGTCCTAGGTAGTAGGTTGGTAGACAGCAACTGCCCTGTCATGTGAATGTGAAATGGAAGCCTATAATTGTTTTACATGATGGTAGGAATGCTGGTGTCTTTCTGTCTCATAAACATGCAAGATTTCAGGGACGTCTTGCTACTTCTACTTACACTTAGGTCACATTGCATATGCATAGATAAGCTATACATATACACCTGCCCCATGGGGGTTTCTTCTGTTTTCATACTAGTTGTTGTCCACTTCCTCTTATGGGGAAGTGGAACAGAATTCTTCCTCCATAAGCCATGTGTGTCATAAGAGGCAACTACAATGCTGGGAGCAAAGGGCTAGTAACCTCTTCTCCCATTTTTTCTTTTGGACCACCCTGCCTCAGTGGGATACAGCCAGTTTGTTGAAAGAAGATCAGAAAGTCACAGTTGTATACTAAAGCTAGCCCTGTACTTGAAAATTCTTCACATACAGAATGGGTGAAAAAAAAAAAAATGGGTTATAAGTACGTATATGTAGTAAGTACTACAACCACAGTAGATAAAAATAACTCCGATATATTACAATAATTAACAAAAAAGGCACAATACCATCACCTCTTCCTGCCTATTTATAGCCGTCCTACTCCACCTCTGGTTAGTGTGACTTTGTCAATGGTCCAAGTCGGACTGAAACGTCGTCGTAAGCTTCTCTCTTTTATGTGCGGGTTATTTGTGTATTACAATAATTACTAATGATAGGTTATCACGAGTGTAGCTTTGCTCCTGTAGTAACAATTGGAAACTTCTAACAATGCTTTTCTCTGTTGTAGACAATAGCCATCCCATATGTTGATCCTCAGTCGAAAACTATCTAGTATCCCAGTTCTAATTTGCATCTGTCTTGTTCAAATTTGATCTTATTCACAACATTATGAACAGGAAACTTACATCATTATTTACAAGAAACTCAACCTCAGCTTTGTTTATTGCCTTTTCAAGTAAAGTACATTGTCAATTACTCTAATCTTCAGAACACATGACTTGCCCTAACCTTGTCTGTCTTATAAACCTTTTTTCACCTGACATGATTGTTGGCTTTATTCCATTTTCTCTATTACTGACGATTTGATAACAGTCCAGGATAAACTGGACTGTCTAATTTTATCTTCGGTTCGTGGGTTAGTTGTGAAGCCCCCCATTTAATCTCAAGCCAGTTTCTAAGTTAAGTGGAGTAAATAACCTCACATTAAACAACTCAAAAAAATGTTCAATAACAAAATAGTAAGTGGCCTTTTATAAGTTAATTCAGCATATATCAATATTCATGTTTAACCCTTTGAGGGTTGCCAGGCCCTCTCAGAGACTTGTTCTCAGGGTCACCAAAATTTAAAAAAAAAAAAAATTACGAAAAGATAGTGAATCTTTTCAAGATCATAATGACACCAAAAGTATGAAATTTGATGGAAAACTTACGGAATTATGCTCTCGTGAAGTTAGCGGTCTCGACGATGTTTACGCATCGGCGATTTTGCCCACTTTGAGCCCTATTTTTAGCCAATTCCAGTGTACTAGTCGACAAAAATCATAACTATTTCACTAGAACTCCGTTTTTTCTATTTAATGAGTACAAGAAACCACCCATTTACTGATTTCAACTATCCAATAAAGTGGTCAGAATTTAGCAATTTTGCCAATTTCACACAAATTTCAGAAGATGACAATTTCCAAATAGGGTCCAGAATAAACAAGAAAGACATTCCTGGCACTAAAATAACATTTCATCTGTTCATTAGTCACATCCCCACACCCCTCTTACATTTCTTTTGCTTTCCACTTTGAATTTTTATTCTCACAAAAATTAGAAGATTTACTGTTATGCAGACTACTGTATTAGTGTAGAAATGTTATAAATAATACCAGCGCACTTGTGAAAGAATATTAGATTCACCAGTTGATGTGTATTGGATGTTTGGCATGATTTGTTTACTTTTGAACTTTGGCAAAAATCAAACATTTCTGCTACTTTGAGCTCAATTTCAAGGTACTTTTCATTGTGAAACATATCAAAATCATCTCAATTTCTGTAATATGTCTTCCATTCTATAAAATAAGACCAGGAAGCTAGAATACAACCATAAATACCATACAAAAGTACAGTGCAAAGTCGCTGTTTTAAACCGAAAACACGGTCAAAGTTTTTTTTTCTCATTATGCACTGTGTGCTACAGGATTTTTTTTATACTGCGCACACTGACTACATAGACCCATTATTTCATATGTAGGCCTATCAGCTTTCTCTTGCTAGATTTGAGGGCGCTAGAATTTATGCGTACTAGTACGTCAAAAACCCTGGTGCGTAAGCTGTAATAGTATGGCCCAAACCCCGAAAGGGTTAATAATTACATAGAGTATGTACTGCAGAAATACAGTGGAACCTCTACTTACGAGTTTAATCCGCTCCATGACGTTCCTCGCAACTGGATTTGCTCGTTTGCAGAGTCAATTTTCCTCATTTAAATTAATTAAAATGGAATTAATTCGTTCCAGTGGAATTCCAGGCACGAGAAAACACTTTAATAATTTCTCTAATATCAACTCTACAGCTTATTTATCTATCACAATTCATGTAATATGACATAATAAAGAATATTAATAACATAGAAACATGATACATACACTAGAATGAATAAAATGCATGTCATTAGGTATGTGGCTAGTGGTGGTGACAGCAGCCATTGTTGTTGGGGTTTATAGGGCCACCACAGCGTCCATTCCTGCTCCTGATTACATATGTAGAGAACCTAGGATAACCCAAAGAAGTCAGTGACTTATAAGTGCTACACTCTTAATGCTTCACTTAATTGCTATGCTCTTAATGCTACATTGTGCCACTGCTGCTTCATGTTGTCTGCCACTGCTACCTCATGATGTCTGCCACTGCTGCTTCATGTTGTCTTCCACTGCTGCTTCATGTTGTCTGTCACTGCTGCTTCATGTTGCCTGTCACTGCTGCTTCATGTTGTCTGCCACTGCTACCTCATGTTGTCTGCTACTGTTGCTTCATGTTGTCTGCCACTGTTGCTTCATGATGTCAGCCACTGTTGCTTCATGATGTCTGCCACTGTTGCTTCATGATGTCTGCCACTGCTGCTTCATGTTGTCTGCCACTGCTACCTCATGATGTCTACCATTGATGTCGCCAAAGAATCGAACATTTCTGCTATTTTGAGCTCAGTTTCAAGGTACTTTTCATCGTGAAACCAATCAAAATCATATTTTTGTAGTATATCTTCCATTCTATCACATGAGACCAAATAAAACGAGAATACGACCATAAAAACCATACAAAAATATACCGCTAAGGGGAGGCTAATGACTGAGAAGTGAACTCCATTATTTATGGTCCAATTTCTTTCATTTTTGGTGTACGTTAAGAAGCATCTTTTCATCATACATTGCCCAAGTTTCAATAAGATAGTCCAACAAACAACCGAGATCGAATTCCCTAGATCAAGAGCAAGAGCCCCCTCACCAGTGTCAATTAACCTCCCTTGAGGCCTGCTCGCATCTGGAAATTTTGCTTGTGTCTAGAAGCAAAAAATCAACCGAGCAGCTGCTCGTTTCTGGAAAAACTCGCACATGGACGCACTCGTAAGTAGAGGTTCCACTGTATTTCCTTTTTGCATTGCACTGTATGATGCTGTACATTGTTTCTAAAACATGTATTTTTTATAGCTTGCTTTTTAATCGTTTGTTTCTTCTTATAGTGTGAGGAAAAATGCTGATGACCTGAAGGAGGCACTACAGAAGGTTCTGGCACCAATGTTCTGCAATGCCATGACAGTTGCCACCGAGGATCAGAAGTCTAAGTTGGATAAGGTAATGATTTGTTCTATGAGGGAGTTGTTTGCAATTTGGTGTAGTCTCATCCTGCATGTTTAACTTGTTAATTGTTGTTTGGCAAAGAGTAAATAATTTGAAATATTTCTGGGTTAATGATTTTGTTGTATAGTAATTGATTAATTCAACCTTTAAATTTAAACCTCTGCACATTTTGATTTTTGTTGACACCTGATACATCTTAACACACACAAGTCAGACATTGCTCTTCTTCTTCTTCTTGATTTGCTGGTACTCTCCCAGCCTGGGCCTTTTCCAGATGGTGACCCAGCCTTGGCTCCCTGTTATGCGAGTGGCTGAGACCAATATCTCGCATGGGAGGAGGTACAAGTACCTCCTCATTCTTCTGGGGCCAACTGTCCCCAGGCCTAGCTCCATTCCCCGCCCTCACGGGGCTCGTAGGGAGAAACTAGGCCTCTGGTCTACCATCTTCCCCGCTCCAGGGGGGCTCGTGGGAATGGCAGTCTTGTGAGCTGCAGGTGGTAGCAAGCTCTGGCTCTGGCACCTCAGACATTGTTGATTTTCTATATTTACTACCTTCCTTATTGACTGACTTAAGTGTCTCAGGCAGTGGATCTTCAGTGGAAGATTTGGCCATTGGAGTACAGTATCTGCAATACTCACGATGAGTAGGTGGGGATGTTGCACTTCATGAGTCATGTGAATTGTGATGCCTTTGCACTTCTGGCATGACAAACTGTTAGGTGGATGATGATGAATGTGTTTCCTTCCTTAAGTCATTCTTCCTTTGTTGGGGAACAACTGGTGTGGCTATGGCCATTTTGCAAACATCAGATGTATTTTTTTTTTATATATTCATTTTATACACAAGAGGTTGGCTTATATATGTTTAGTAGACTTAGACGAAGGAGGATGGTTATTGCAGTAAATGCTTCTAAGAGAAGGGTTAAATGATGAAGATATTTAGATGAAACTTTAGGAAAGGATGGATGGATGATTGGCAGTAGGAAGAATGAGAATGAAAGTTGATTGATGCAGAGAGGATTTGATCAGGAAGGTAGGGATAATGGAAGGAAGGTAGCGAGAGGAAGATGGGGTTGATTGGAGGATAAATAGAAGATTGGTGGAGGGATGAAGGAGAGACATAGGTAGGCAGGGAGGAGGAGGAAGGAAGAAGGTAGGAAAGTAGGGAAGAAACAGGTTGGTGGTGCTGCTGGCAGCTTTTGGGCTGCCAGCAGCAACAGCCTGATTGACCAAGCAAGCACCAGATGAGCCTGGCCCAAGGCCATGCTCCAGGAGTAGAAAACTCTCATAAAACTCATAAAGGTATTTCGAAGGTATATAGCCTATAGGTGTGTAAGTAGCAGAATGAATGTTTAACAAGCAGTAATTAAGGTATGGCACTGTAAGCAAGTTGCCAATTCAGCTAAAATCATTACCATTAAGAATGTGTCTGGCCTGAATATTTAGTTTGAGGTATCAGACTAGCTGTTGCACAGTCTTGCAGGCTACTGGTGTTACAAATGAAATGTTTTTCTTTTTCCCCTAACCTCAGAATTTTCAGGAATATATATGTTCTGCAGTGTTACTTCAGTCTTCAAGTGTTTATCAGTGTATGCTGATGTTCCAAAAATTATACCTGAATTTAACTCATTCACTTTCTTTCTTTCTTTCAACACACCGGCCATATCCCACCGAGGCGGGGTGACCCAAAAGGAAAAACGAAAGTTTCTCCTTTTACATTTAGTAATATATACAGGAGAAGAGGTTACTAGCCCCTTGTCTCCGGCTTTTAGTCGCCTCTTACAACACGCATGGCTTACGGAGGAAGAATTCTGTTCCACTTCCCCATGGAGATAAGAGGAAATAAACAAGAATAAGAACTAGAAAGAAAATAGAAGAAAACCCAGAGGGGTGTGTATATATGTGCTTGTACATGTATGTGTAGTGTGACCTAAGTGTGAGTAGAAGTAGCAAGACGTACCTGAAATCTTGCATGTTCATGAGACAGAAAAAAGGACACCAGCAATCCTACCATCATGTAAAACAATTACAGGCTTTCGTTTTACACTCACTTGGCAGGACGGTAGTACCTCCCTGGGCGGTTGCTGTCTACCAACCTACTACCTAGGAACTCATTCACATGATTGTTTAATTTTATGATTGTTATTTTTCTAGTGAATGGTCCTTGTAGGATACACAACTCAAGAGGTGCTGGGAAGTACAGTATTTCCATCTTTGATTCTCTCTATTCTTAGAGGGTATTGTCAGGTATAGCTTATTGGTGTGCAGTCTTGTTCTTACGGAAATCTTGCTGTTGTTTGTCCTTTGTGCTCAAAATAAACTTCATCATTTTAAACCCAGTGCAGTAAACTATTTTAATACTAACTGTTGAGTGCTAAAATAATATTTATAAACAGACATGGACAAAGTAGGTTGGTATACAGCAAATGCCCAGGGAGGTACTACCGTCCTGCCAAGTGAGTGTAAAACGAAAGCCTGTAATTGTTTTACATGATAGTAGGATTGCTGGTGTCTTTTTTCTGTCTCATAAACATGCAAGATTTCAGGTACATCTTGCTACTTCTACTTACACTTAGGTCACACTACACATACATGTACAAGCATATATATACACACCCCTCTGGGTTTTCTTCTACTTTCTTTCTAGTTCTTGTTCATTTCCTCTTATCTCCATGGGGAAGTTGGACAGAATTCTTCCTCTGTAAGCCATGCGTGTCGTAAAAGGCGACTAAAATGCCAGGAGCAAGGGGCTAGTAACCCCTTCTCCTGTATATATTACTAAATTTGAAAGGAGAAACTTACGTTTGTCCTTTTGGGCCACCTCACCTCGGTGGGATACGGCTGGTACGTTGAAAGAAGAAGAAAGCTTATTGCTGTGCAGTCTTGTTCTTATGGAAATCTTGCTGCTGTTTGTCCTTTGTGCTCAAAATAAACTTCATCATTTTAACCCTTTGACTGTTTTCGACGTATAAATACGTCTTACGAGCCAATGTTTCTGACGTATATATACTCAATAATTCTAGCGGCTTCAAATCAAGTGGGAGAAAGCTGGTAGGCCCACATGTGAGAGAATGGGTCTGTGTGGTCAGTGTGCACCACATAAAAAAAATCCTGCAGCACACATTGCGTAATGAGAAAAAAAAACCTGATCGTTTTTTTGGAATAAAACGCCGACTTTGAGGTGTATTTTCGTATAGTATTTATCGTTGTATTCGCGTTTTCATGGTCTTAGGTGATAAAATGGAAAACATATTATAGAAATAGAGATGATTTTCATTACTTTTACGATGAAAACGACCTTGAAACTGAGCTCGAAGTAGCGGAAATGTTCGATTTTTACCAATGTTCAAGAGTAAATAAATCACACCACACATCCAATACACGTCACTGGGGAGTCTATATTCTTTCACTAGTGCACTGATATTATTTATACCATTTTTACAATAATGCAGTCGTCTGAATAACAGTAAATTTTGTATTTTTTTGTATGAATAAAAAATCAAAATAGAGCAATAATAATATAAGAGGGGCCTAGAGATGTGACTAATGAACAGAGCATATGTTATTTTAGTGCCACGAATGTCTACCTTGTTTATTCTGGACCCTATTTTGAAATTGGCATCTTTTTATTTTGCGTGAAATTGGCCAAATTGCCAATTTCTGACCACCATATTGGGTAGTCCAAATTAGTAAATGGGAGGTTTCTTGTACTCAGCTGATAGATAAAATGGAGTTCTAAAGAAATAGCTATGAGTTTGGTCAACTGGAACAATGGAATTGGCTGAAAATAGGGCTCAAAGTCGGCGAAATCGCCGATACCCATATGTCGCAGAGACCGCTAACTTCGCGGGAGCATAATTCCACGAGTTTTCGACCAAATTTCGAACTTTTGGTGTCATTACCACCGGGAAAAGATTCTCTATCATTTCATAAGAAAAAATAATTTTTTTTTTTTAAAAAATTGAGCGACATAGAATGACAGTTTCAGAGAGGGGCCTGAAACAGTCAAAGGGTTAAACCTAGTGCAGTAAGTTATATTAATACTAGCTGTTGAGTGCTAAAATAGCATTTATAAACAGACATGGACTTAGTAGGTTGGTAGACAGCAACCATTTGGGGAGATACTACAGTCCTCCAAGTGAGTGTAAAAAGGAAGACTGTACAGTGGACCCTCGCATACCGCTGGCATCACATGACGTTAAATCCGCATACCGATACATTTTATCGCTAAAAATTTTGCCTCGCATACCGCTAAAAAACTCGCTCAACGCTATTCGTCCGAGACGCATCTAATGTGCGGCCTGAGCCAGCCTCACATGTTCCGCCAGTGGCATTGTTTACCAGCCAGCCTCCACGGTAACATCCAAGCATACAATCAGAAAATTTTGTATTATTACAGCGTTTTTGGCGATTTCATCTGCAAAATGAGTGACCATGGGCCCCAAGAAAGCTTCTAGTGCCAACCCTACAGGAATAAGGGTGAGAATTACTATAGAGATGAAGAAAGAGATCATTGCTAAGTATGAAAGTGGAGTACGTGTCTCCGAGCTGGCCAGGTTGTATAGTAAACCCCAATCAACCATCGCTACTATTGTGTCCAAGAAAACGGCAATCAAGGAAGCTGTTCTTGCCAAAGGTTCAACTGTGTTTTCGAAACAGAGATGATGTTGAGAGAGACTTATTGGTGTGGATAAACGAAAAACAGATAGCAGGAGATAGCATCTCTCAAGTGATCATAAGTGAAAAGGCTAGGAAGTTGCATCAGGATTTAATTAGAAAAATGCCTGCAACTAGTGATGATGTGAGTGAATTTAAGGCCAGCGAAGGTTGGTTTGAGAGATTTAAGAAGCGTAGTGGCATACATAGTGTGATAAGGCATGGTGAGGCTGCCAGTTCGGACCACAAAGCAGCTGAAAAACGTGCAGGAATTCAAGGAGAACATAGACAGTGAAGGACTGAAACCTGAACAAGTGTTTAATTGTGATGAAACAGGC